CACATCAAACAGTGGAGGTGGTTTGGGATCATCTGTGTGCAAAAAGAGCCCCTTTGAGGAACCAAAATTCACCTCCCGCCCCTCTCCAGCAGCCACAGCCCCCAGGCCTCCCCCAGCCAGCCGTGCCTCGGAGCCAGGGAGTTCATCCCGGGATTGGATGCGAAGGGTGTGAGGGTTTCAGGGCATCCATCACTGTCCCCCTCCGAGCAGCTCCCAACTGATCACGGGCTGAGATCAATGAGGGATCGTTGGGGAGGAGGGAGAGATGCTGGAGGTGACCAGAGACACGGGAAAGAATAACAAACCCTGTGCTGCCTGGGGTATGATGGATCACAGAATTTAGGGATGGCTTTCACCACAATAACAACAACAACAACAACAACAAAAGCCACTTCTGCACCATCCCCTTATTTGAGACTTTTCCAGGCTGCAAGTCCCGCTTTGGAAACTCTTATTGTAATTGAAGTACACTTAATTGAGACACACTTAAGTGAGACTAATTGAAATTCCACTGCCACAGCAGTAAATTGAAAAAGAGGGGGAAAGATCAGAAAGGGTGTTTGCTTGACATGGCCAAACTCCAGCTTGTTCTGCTGCTCCAAACTGCTAATAAAAGCTCTTGTTCTTTTGCAACAATTATGCATTTTCAGATATTGTTTTTAAGAAATAGAATCTGTTATTCACAGAGAATCAACCCTAAAAAAAAAATGCCAGTCAGAGCCATTAAGATGTTTTCACTGATGCACCGCACGTAAATCTGATTTATGTTGGTTTAAACAGTTAAGAAATCCCCCCAAAATAACTTCATTTATTATTTTATTGTCTGATTAATGGCCCAGAGGAACTGATTTGTAGCTGAAGTTTTACAGAATGCAAAATTAAAACAAGAGCCTTTTGTAAAAACGCCCCGTATTTGTTCAATTATGTGTTTAAAAACTGCAACAAATATAAAAACTTCAATAAATATATTTTCTTCCAAGAAATGACATGCTGTGGGTTTGCTGTTATTGTTGGGCTTGATGTTTTTGCCTCTAAGGAGGTCAGCAATATGGAAACATAAAGGCCAATTTAATTTGGGCATCTGTGGCTGCCAAGTATTTTAATTCCGACAGCTGTGACTGAAGAGTTAATATTTTACTTGTCAAAATCCCAAAGAAGGCCAGTGAATCACTCTAATTCTCATTAAGAGGCTTCCCCCCAGTAGCACCCTAATTCAAAATAATGAAAGTAGAGACTGAGTGCCATTCTAATACCAGTTGAGACCTATCTTTTAATATTTCTCTGGTGATGGATTAGGGATCGGGGAAATTCATCTCAGATCATAGAGCCTAATTTAATAAGGGATCATTCCAAGAGTATTGCATTTTATAATAATGTCATTTAATGTGTCGTCTTCCATTTTTACTGTCCCATATGTATGCTTACATGATGGTGCCACAGGGATAAACTTTTAAAGGACCAGGATCATTTTTTTGTCCTGAGTTCCTCTTAACGAGGAAGTTTATCAGTGGGATGGTCTATTAGTGAGCTGTTATAATTATTAGAGTTTAAAAGAAACAGTGAAAGCCAAGAGAATGGTGACACAAACGGCACTTTCAAGCCCTGGAGTGGAGGCAAAGGGAGAACATTTAAAAGTAGGTTAAAATCTGATTTTAGTGTCTAACACAATAGTGCCATTGCATGAAAAATGTGGTCACCTGGTTGTTTAAAACTCGGGATAATAAAATAATATTCCCCTTTAACCACATCTCCATAAAACATTTCCCACTTGGTTGGTATATTCCTGGGATTATTTAGGTAGAACTAATTGCCTCTTTGAGGGGGGGTTATGACTATTTTCCAATGCTCTTTCCCCCCCAAAATGCAGTGATTTGCCATCCTGTGAGAGCAGCAGCAAACTATCAACAACCATTATAAAGGATCAGATGTAATTACTGTGTGTTAATATTTGGGCTCTATTTGAGATTTAAATTAATTTGTACTTCCTGGCATTGCTCTGAAGGGGAAATTCTGGGTGATTCCCACCCCGAAGCCTGAGCCCCTCAAGGTCAAGAAATAACCCAACCACCCAAACATCAATTTACTGTCGCTGCCTGCAAGTTGTAAAAAGCTGCAGCCTGAGCTCTGCGTAATCACACAGAGCCTTTAGGAAAAAATGGGCTTATAATGAGGATTTTTGTTCCAAATCCATTCCCCTGATTAAGTCTTTATTTTCAGGTAACAACTCAGCGGCTCCACTGTAAGGTTTGACAGAATTAGATCAAACACAGACAGGCTGAGCAGGGACCAGTTGAGTAATAACCTGCTGTAAACAATAATCTCATTACAGGAGTTTTCCAGCATTGAAATGTGTCGTTTGGAAGGGAACACAATTAATACAAAATGAGGGGTTTCATATTCTCTCTTTTTCCCTGAGTATTTTCAGGGTTTTGTTTTCTTCAGAACATTGGAACTCGTGGCATTTCTTGCACTTTTTCTCATACAACTCAGTTTTTTTATTCCTGACTTGTTGAAAATATTTTTTCCTCAGCATTTCTTTTGATTTTCTACTTTTCTCCTTTTGCATTTTGCACTTCCTCTTTTAACTCCCCGTTTATCTGCTGATTATTTTCATTCTCTTCCATGTCCTCTTCCTTCCATTTTATTCCCTTTCTCCTCCCTTCAGTTATTTCACGTTTCTCGGGTTTAATTTCTGAGCTGTCCTGTTGCTTATAAAACCCTTTGTAGAAGCTGGGAAAGTTCATGTAAATTTTATAGCCTGGATTTTCTTTTTCTCACCATGTTATCTCTTCATGTGTCAGTGTATTGCTTGTTAAACTTGTTGCTTTTGATTAAATATCAAAAGTTATTCCTGCAGTAGGAATGTTACACATGTACACGTCTGGCATCTGGAACTGCTTTAGACACTCACTTTCTGAAGAGAAAATTATATTTATAACTGTTTTAAATCAGAAAAAAAAAAAAAGGGGGGGGGGTCCTGTTTGTATCGAAAATAATTAAAATTGACAAGTTTATATTAAAGAATTAGAAACAAGCAAACAAAAAGTTAAATAAACAGGTTTGGAGGGACTGTTTTGAGGGACTGTTTTTTAACAAGTGTTGCCTGTGTGGGTCACCTATTTCAGTTTCCAAGGCTTGTTTTTCCCATCCCAGCTTCATTCCCATCCCTGGAAGCGTTCCAGGCCAGGCTGGACAGGGCTTGCAGCAGCCTGGGGTAGTGGAAGGTGCCCGGGGAGTGTGGAGTGTCCGTGGAGGAGATGGGATTCCACCATCCACAGGCACCTTTTGCAGCTCCACAATAGGAAGGAGTCCAGAGCAGGAGGCTCCTCCCCCTTGGGCAGGGCTCTCCTGGTTTTTTAAGGGATGTTAAGCCAGACTTGAACTGGTTAACTGGGCCCCAGCCCAGCTGAGCTGCCCGTTCCACACCCACCCGTGCCGTAAATAGCGCTGTCTCAGTGGGGAAAGGTTGGCAGCTGGGTCCCACTCAGGCCCAAGAACAAAGTGCCATCAGCAAGTGAACTCCCTGCCAAAGAACATCAATAAAAGGGTGTTTCCAAACTTAGCCATTTCTTGCTTTTCATCTGTTCCTTCATCTCCCCCTCCCTCTTTCCTCCTCCCATCCACGAGCCCGTCCCACCCGTCCCTCCCAGCACCTGCTCCTGCTGGGGCCATTTTGGGAATATTTGCCCCCCATGGCCGAGCTCAGCCTGGCTGAACTAATTCCAGAGTGGGAGATCATCTCAGAGGAGAAATGTCCTCAGGAACACAGCGTAGGAGGAAGCCTCCCACACTGCCAGGGAAGGCAGTTTGGCTCCTCCCTGGAGCAGAGATATTCCCATCCCATCTGAAGCTGTGCTGCCCCATCCCTGGAAGTGTTCCAGGCCAGCCTGGAGGGGGCTCTGACAACCTGGGCTAGTGGAAAATGTCCCTTCCCATGGCAGGGGGTGGCACTGGATGAGCTTTGCAGCCCCTTCCAACCCAAACCATTCCGGGATTCCACGATCTGCTCATCCATGTTCAGCCCTCCATCCACACCAGACCTCTCCCTTCCAGCGTGCCAGGTGGTGGCCCAGCTCGTGGCTTTCCCTTTGTTTCTTTCCTGCCTTAAATTAATTAGAATTCATTTCTAATCTGAATTTCACGGTCAGTTCACTATCAGAATTTGATAGTCCATACTTAGGGTAATAGAATTGTGCATTTAAGTCTTAGAGCATTTTTCTTGAGCTGTCTGGGCAGGTATAAATCAGTCTCAGAAGAAAACCTCAGGCTGCCACAGCAAATCTTCTTTATTACAATACAAAACTGATTTTCAACAAATAAAATATGCTGTTGTGGTCAGTACTCCCCCAGATATCTGTGCCTGGGAAGCATTTGCAGACAGCAGGCACGGGAGAAGACAAACACCCCATGAAATGCATGTTTTAAAGATCAGCCCAGCAGCACACAAAACCTGCCAGGGGTCTGCTCTGATCTCACTGGGGCATAAAACAACACCAGCTAAAATCTCCCGTGTCCTTGGGAAGGCAGGGCTTGGGGATTTTCCTGGAAGTCCAGGTTTTTTGTTTGTTTTTGTTTGTTTATTTGGTTGGTGGTTTTGTTTTGTGTTGTTGTTTGGGGTTTCTTTGTAGTTTTTTTTAATCCAAATAATAAAGCCTGTTTAAATATGTTGATAAAAGTGATGATAGAAATGTAACCAGATTAGTCATAGAAATGTAACCAGATTAATGATCCTTTTCCCTCTGATATTGAAGGGATATTTTTCACTCTACAGCCACTTTGTTAAATGCCATTAACTTTCCATCAGATGGGCCAAGTTCCTGCCCAGTGGGGAGTGTCCTAAGGACACGAGATAACTTTGGTTCAGTTTAGAAGCACAACCTGCTCTTGCAGTCCCTGCACACGCTGAATTCCAGCGCTTCCAGGATTTATGTGCACAGTTATGGTTAACTTTTGTTTCCTGGTGGGCCTCCTGGGTTATTCCCAGGTGATGGGTCGAGCAGAACGTTGTGGGTGGAGCTGGAGATCCCCTGGGACGCTGGGAGCTCTTTGCTCTGCTCGCTGAGGAGAGGGGGGAGATGCTGGATGTGCTGGATGTGCTGGATGTGCTGGATGTGCTGGATGTGCTGGATGTCTCCATGTGCCCTCCCAAGAAGCTGCTCCAGCACGAGGCTTCAGATCCCGACACGTCCTCTCGGCTGGAACCCTCTTTACATCCCTCGGAACAGAATCTGTCGTCGTGAGTGCCGAATAAAGACATTAAAAATGACTAATTCAGGAATGTCTCCCCCTCTGGAAAGCCAAACTGAGCCCACAAAGGGCACAGTGAGGCCCCGGGAGCCCAGGGCTCTCTGTGATTTTTAGCAGAGCTCTGGGCAAACACAGCCGGTTTAAGTACCCAGGGAGGCGGCTGTCACAGCTCTGCTGACGGCCACATTTTCAGATGGAAACTGGAATTCCGCTTTGTTCTCTACAAAGCAATGTTTATGGGTTTGTGTACAAATAAAATCTAAACTAACAGTTTATTTTGGGCGCTCAGTGGCTTCGCTGAGAACTTAAGACGTAAATCGTTGCTTAGATTTAAAATGCTTTAAAATGGATGTCGAAAATAAAAGTTCTGCTTTGTGAAGTTCCACTTAATGCCAGCAGATCTGAGCCACAGAGGGTGCTGCTCATGAGACTCTCCACTGAGTCACAAGACACTGGAATATCGTCCATCTGTTGCAAATGAGGGAAGACAGCTGTAATTAAATGATATTTTGCATTAATTGTATTGAAAGGCTCGCAGTTTGCTGGCAGCCAGGGTGAGGTTGACTGTTCAGATGTGTGTTTGTGCAAATTCTGGTGGAGGGGAAAAGCATTATGTAAAACTTAATAGTCTTCTGTCCTCCTTTCCATCACTGCCCATCCCCTTCCCAGCGGGGTTTGCAGCATCCCCAGGCCAAGAATTACCTCGTTGGCAGCAGGTACGAGGTCAGGAGGGCATTTACTGAGCAGGAGGATCTCCAGCCCTTTAGGGAGCCTCCCAAAGGTGTTTTGGTTTCCCTGCCACTGGGAATTATGGACAGTGAATTTAATTTCCTGGTTGCACTGTGGGATTCTGGTCTTTCTGCAGGGACAAATATGCCCATGAGATAATGATAATTCAAGGGCCAAACTGTGGATATTCCCTTCCACCCTGCTGAACTCTGATCTGTCCAAAGGGACAGCACTGCCAGCCTGTGTGTCACAAACTCCCTGCCCAGGCTCTCTGGGCTTGTTTAATTTAGGACAATAAACCGATGAGTGGGCAAAGCTTTCCCTGAACACCTTGGGTTTATTTACGGCCCATCAGCAGCTCCAGCTGGGCAGGAGCCAGCAGACCTGGGAACGCTCCTCTTCTGCCCACAGCTGCCACCCTCTCCTGGCAGGGATGACAAACCAGCTGTGCTTCTGCCCCCCGTGGTGTTCTCTGCCCGTGTCACACGTGGCAGGGACACAGCAGTGCCCAGCTCTGCTCTGTGCTGTCACCACACCGCCAGGCTGCTCTCCACCCACTCACTCCTGATCCGTGACTCATCCCAGTTCCCGGCTGCATCCAGGGATTGGTTTCCACTGGTTTGGCCATCCTGTTGCATAAGGAAGCTCGGGGGTGCCCTCGTCCATCTGCAGCAAAGCTGGGTGATGGAATCCTCCACCTTCGGCACCGCTGGGCTTGGCGATGCCACTGCACAGTGCAGGTCTCAGGTTGCTTTGTGAATTAACTCATCCTGCTCCTTCCTGGATGTTATAATTCAGGGATCAGTGGCAGCTTCCTTCCAAGGGGTGTTTTCAGTTTATTTATTTCCCAGGAACACGGAATCCCCGTCTGGGTTGGGTTGGGAGGGACCTTAAGGCTCATCCCATTCCACCCCCTGCCACGGTCCCTTCCCACCCAAACCATTCCAGGATTCTGGGATTCTGTGCTTTCCCACATAACTGGCACTTTTAGTTGCAAATGGCAGAACAAAAGTGCTTCTCTCTGCTCCAGTTACTCTCTTGCACACTTGAACCCCCAAAATTAATCCCTGTGTCTCCTTCAAGCTTTCTGAAAAGACCAAATTCACCATTTCCTCACTGACAAGACTTGGAGAATATTGAACCACCACTTATTTCCCTGTGGCAGTGAACAATGGCTGTACCCAGGAAACAGTTAAAACCAAAGAAAATTCCAGGTTCAGGCTTACTTTTTATTTTTATTTTCCTGAAAACTAAGTGGGACTCTCGGAGAACTTCAGCAGATCTTGAAAAAAATTAAAATAAATTCATAGCCAATAGAGATAAATTACTCCCAGGAATACATCCCACATAACTCAGCCTGACCTTGGACATCTCTTGGCTAATAACAGTTGTTTTGAAGTATATATGTTCCATTTATAACAGAAGGCTTAATTCATCTTTCTCCAGGCTCGGAGCAGGGAGCTGACACCCTGTAAATCTGCCTCTCCATTGTTTAACAGAGACGTCTCAGGGCAGATGTTATGCAAGAAAAGCTCAGAGGGAAAATTCACAGGCATTTCCCCAGCCCATGAAAAGAAGTTCTTGATTACAGGCAAAATGAGTTCATTAGAAACTAATCCAAATTAATTGCATCTGAACAGAAAGTAACGTATGAATTGCAAATGTTTCCATTTCCTTTAGCGGGATTAATGTGGTTAAATTAGTTTTGAAATTCATGCAGAATCCTTTACCCAGGTAGGGAATTATTGCAAACCACTTGTGTAATTAAACTGATTACATGTGTCAGGATTGTCATCTCTTCGTGGTGCCAGGCTGGTTGGCAGCTGCCTGAAATGGGGACAGGCCCCACCCAGGCTCTGGCACATCTTTGGCCTCTGCAGTGAGTGCAGGACAGAGCTCCTGCTGCTGCCACCTGGTCAGACCTGCTCCCAAGGCCCTCAGGGAATCCTGCCCTGCAGTTCCAGCACTGTGGGAATAACCCAAATCCCACCTGTGGGTCCAGGAGAAGGAGAGAAAACAGCTAAAATATGACCAGACCCCACGTGGGTTCGTCCCCATCCCTCTGCAGAGTGAGGGTGGGTGTTGTAGCAGTGGCATTCCTTTAAATTAATGGCTGTTCAAGTAATTGCAATAATCTAAACCAGGTATAAACTGCCAGAGGGCAGGGCTAGATGGGATATTGGAAAGGAATTCCTGGCTGGGAGGGTGGGCAGGCCCTGGCACAGGTTTTTCCCAGAGAAGCTGTGGCTGCCCCAGCCCTGGGAGTGTCCAAGGCCAGGCTGGAGCAACCTGGGATGGTGGAAGGTGTCCCTGCCCATGGCAGGGAGTGGAACTGGATGATCTTTAAGGTCCCTCCAACCCAAACCAGTCTGGGATTCCATGATTCAAAATGCATCAAACCCAGCTAATCCATTAGCCTGATTTTTTTCTAATTGGTTCAGGACTTTGGGCTTCACCCCAGCAGAATTTCTGCTGCAGTCAACAAAGTCACTGCAAACATCCATGAATTTCCTGCTCAGGGACAGCAGAACATTTACATGTGGTTCCCATTGTCCTGCATTTAACCTCTCCAAGATATTTTTGGGGAATACTTTATTTACATTTTCTTTAACAAAGAACATGTTTACCTTCTTCCTAAAGATTACCACATGGCCAAACACTTCCAAACCTAAATATTTCCTGAAAGGGAATCTACATAATAATTAAATGTACACACATTAAGTGGAGGAACAGTGAAAAAAGACGTTCTGAGTCTTTACAGGGATTTTGTAACGGGATATGGGCAGTATCCTAATTTTTAGCAGATTAGCAATGGGGGCAAGTGCAAGCCAAGTTTCCACTGCTTAAATATTTACTGAAAGGACAATGAGAGGTTGGTAAGTGTGTTGTTGTTAATACCAACAGTTTGCACACTGCTGTCTTTGCTGGGGGTCAGTGCTCGGTCTGAGGGCAGAAGCCCCCCCTGTGATCCTCCAGCACACAGAGGGGTGATTGCTCGGGGCCAGCTCTCACCAGAAGAACTCTTTGAGATCTGAAATAGCTCTAAATTAAAATGATCTCTGAGAAAAGTTGTTGTGTCTCTTTCTGGTTGCCTCCAAAATTCGGCTGTTTGTTCTAAGAGCCTGTAGGGACAGGATGAGGGGGAATGGTTTCCCACTGACAGAGGGCAGGGTCAGCTGGGATACTGGGAAGGAATTGCTGGCTGGGAGGGTGGGCAGGCCCTGGCACAGGTTGCCCAGGGAAGCTGTGGCTGCCCCAGCCCTGGGAGTGTCCAAGGCCAGGTTGGAGCAACCTGGGATAGTGGAAGGTGCAGATGGAGAGACTGGATGGGCTTTAAGGTCTCTTCCAACCCAACCATTCCACGATTCTATAATTCCATAATTCTAATAACACACAGACAGTTGTTATTTTCCAAGCCCCCTTTCTGGCCTGAGCTGCTCAGACGTGGCTTAAACTCCACCTTCTCGTCCAAGCTGCATCTGGTGCTCTCATCAACGTGGGGGTGACCAGTGGGTCGTGTTCTCCTGGAAGGAAAAGAAAAGAGGAGGTTTGAATTGTTGTTTGGGAGGCAGGAATGGTGGCAGTGGTTGCCTCATGCTGGAGTGATGAAATGTTTCCCCTGTTCCAGAGTGTGTGGAGCACGTCAACCTCTCACTGGAGCTCCAGGGCAGGGCAGGGGCCGCTCAAAGGCAGGTGACTGAGAACTAAAATAGTTGGGTTTCACAGGGGGCAGGAGCTGTGGGCTCAGTGTGGCCCCTTGGCCACTAAGTGCTGAGCACATTTACCACTGCCTGTGTGAGATCAGTTGGTGCAAACCCAGGAAGCCAAAAAGCTGAGTGCCAACACATTGACCTGGGCATTCCAAACACCGGGATGTGACCAGCTGCTGCCCAGCTTGGCAACCAGGCAGAAATGGCTGGTGGTGCTTCCTGCTCTTCCAGAAGATGCAGAATCCAGGGTGACACTTTTAAGGAGTCAGACACTTTTAAACACCAGTGCTGGCAGAGAGGGGAGGGTGTGCAGGCACCTGCTGAGGGCTCCTGCAGCCACTCCACACAGACCTGGAGACACACTGCCAGGATCCCAGTGTGATCCCAGTGGATCCTGCACCAGGGTGGCTATTAGCCTGTCACACAGAATGTCAGCCTGAAGGGTGATGCAGCTGCATTTCCTTAATGCATTATTAACACTGGTATCTTGCTCCTCTAAATTAGCTTAAGATGTTCATCCAGAGATCACACTGCTCTGCTGCTGTGCTCTGTCA